CCGGGGCCTTGGTGTTATCAGCACCGCACTCTCCCGAGTGAGCCACAGGCCGGCCCTGAAAGAGATCTTTAAAATCCTTGAGTCTTTGTCACTTGATTAAGAAACAAGGTGAACTGAGGCTCAGGGAGATGAAGTGACTTGTATGCATTCATACCATGGGTTAATGGAAGAGGCAGTGGTGAGTTAATGGAAAAGGCACTGGTATCACGCTGGATATTACTAAGATGCAGAGGAAATTCCTACCTTGCTGTTTGGCACATAGGGGACTATATGTAGAAGTCTATAAGCTCAAGCTTCCTGCAGAATGTAAGCACTTTTCCATTATGAGCAAGTACCAGTCAACAATACTGTTCAAAAAGGAAAAGAAAAAGCAGCAGTTTAATGCCTGAGCGTGGTAACAAAGCATGGGAGAAGTTGCTACATCATTCTAAGCATCGAAAGCATAGAGATAGCCAGACAGCTGGTCTTGGCAACTCAGTAGGTTGTTGAAGGAAATATACAATCTTTCATTTATTTGAATACTATTTTTGAATGCCAATAAAAATACAAGATGCAAATGACACAACATGCTGAGGCCTCAGAGATGAACAATATAAAGTACCAGTTCTCTCATGGTACAGTCCTGATCAATTCTAAAAATATATTTCATAAAATCAAATATCCACCTTGGGTTTAAAATGGTACTTCACTAACTAACAATAGAAGGAAGAAATACATTGTAAGATTAATAGTGATTATCTTGAAGTAGTACGAATGATTTTTAAAATTCTGTTATAATTTTTACCATATTTTCTAGTACTTTGTAAATTCTTTACAATGAGGATACATTATTTTATGTCCAGGGATTTGAATTAGATATCTGGAATTTTTTAAGTCTTGAAAGGAAAAATACATTATTTTTATGACAGGTCCCCTCCCACCTTCTCCACTTCTCTGCACTCCCACATCATTAAATTTTACATTCAGGAGTTATATTTCCACAGCAGGAAAGCTACTGCTGGTCTGTAATGTAACTGTGCTAGCAAAAGAATTGACTTTTCTATATAGATAAGAGCCTTGAATGTTTGGTTTATTTTTGCTTTTAAGTGATGCAAGGAAAATAATTTGAAGGTTTCAGCTCAATAACTTTCATTTTGTTTTTTCAGTGAAGCAGACTTTATGTTAGCTCTAATTAAGATCACTTAAAAAATCCAACAAATATCTCGGACTTTTAGGGAAAGCTCCTTTGGAAAAAACTAATTTCAGGAAAAGCTATAATAAATCACAGCCATTACTAATAGTGGCTAATATTAAATGTTATGTACTGTACAATATTCTATGCATTTTATATGCATTATCTCTTTTAATTCCCATATTTTGTTCCATTATCCCATTTTACAAATGAGGAAACTGAGGTAGACTTGTTAAGAAAATCCATGCAGTTAGCTGAGTGGTGGATCCAGGATTCAAACCCAGGCAGTGTGGCTCCAGAATCCACTTAATCACTCTCACTGCCTTTCGTAATAGCAAAATGGGCAAGGAGGGTGTATCAGTCTGGGTATAATCTGGAGATAGAAACCACACAGTGATTTAAACAGGGGAAGATGAATGCAGTGAGTTATTAAACTATGATAAGAAATTATTATATATATAGTATTGTTTTGGATATTGAAACCTATTTGTTCTGATAACCTGGTGAGGCCTGGAGAACGAAGGGTTACACTATGTAGCAGAAACCTGTAGAGAATTTCATTTATGTTAACCACGTCTTTTTATTCTCCATATTTTGCCCAGGTAGTAACTAGAGTGTAAATATATATGTGTATGTATTTATACTAGGGCTGAGGGAGGGTACCCAAGAAAGGGCAAACTTGGAATTGGGGGCCCTCCCCAAGGCTGGGGTTCAGACGTTACTGGAAAAGGTACAATTCCAGCCCACTGGATGGCAGAGAAGTTTTGCTGTTGTGCTTGGCCAGACAGAGCTGGTCTGTGGTTGTTGGGCAAGCAGGAAGCAACCCTCTGGAACACATGTGGGGGTGCAACTGGTTGCTGGGCACACCGGCATGAAAGGAAATAGGGGTGCTGGCACAGCAGGGGCTCTGAAGCCCGTGGTATTCATGTTGAAGGGGCAGAGAGCGGACGATCACCAGGCAGGCCAGGGCTGAGAGGGTGCTGAGGTATCATGCATTCTTGGCAGGTTGGTGCTCAGCATCACTGGATATCCTCATTCCCATCGTCAGGCCCCGTGCAGCAGCCAGGAAGAGGAGGAGATCCCGTTCTTCCTGGCGTGTTCTTCCAGCACTCTCTATTGAGAAAGCTTAATATCACTCTTACCATAGGGGAGAAACACTTAAAGTAGTCACATCCATTGTCACAGATCATGTTTGAAGCTGAGAGGCAACACATTGATAAGTAACACAGAGGGAGATCTAATCTGGTCATGCTTCTTTGTAATGTGACTAATCCTGTTTTTCCAAGGACCTTTCACCTGGCGAGTAACCCAGACTTTGTACTGGCCGTGTCTATGACCAAGGCTAGAAATGAAGTCCGTGGCTATCCAGTTATTGTTCAGGTAAGATATGTATAAACTAAAGAGTTATCAAGGATAGCCCTTTAATTAAATTTTAGTAAAGCTTTATGCTTCCTTGTGGGGAGAAAAAAATAGCTGTCATAGAATCCTATCTTGAATGTCATTGGTGAAATATTTATGATAGTCTGCCTAGATTTCAAATTGAAAATGTTCGTGTACCTCTTAATTTAGTTAAACCCAACAGATGGTGATTGTGGGCTTGCTGCATGTCAGGCACTATGCTAGTTACTGAAATCAAATGTAATGGCAAGCAGAAATAGTCCCAACAGCATTCCCAGAGTTTACAGTCTCAGTGGTGGGTGGAGTCAGGAGAATCGCTGTTAGATACACCTAAATTCAATCGTTGGGAACATAGGCAAGGTCCCCCTCATCTGGCAACCGAAGGGAGAGAACCTGGTTAGGGAGGTTTTCCTGGAGGACATTGAGGTCATCATTGTTAATTCTACTAAGTCAC